GAGGATATTAGTTAGTTAGCCTGTGCACCTGAGTTCTCTAGCTCAGGTGTGGCATAGCACCCCGTACTCTTGTATTATGTTTTGGGATTTAATGGGATTTCACCTTTATTTTATAAGTTTTAAATGTCTTGAAAATCTGGGGTGTTACACCACTTGTATTTGGTGATATCCGGATCTTAGGTCAATTTTCGAGAACACCCCTGCCCCCTTAAGTTGGTCGAACAAGTCATCTATCCGGGGAAGGGGGTACCTGTTCTTTATTGTGACTTGGTTAAGTTCCCTGTAGTCGATGCATAGGCGCATGCTCCCATCTTTCTTTTTAACAAATAGTACCGGTGCTCCCCATGGGGAGGTGCTGGGGCAGATGTAACCTTTATCTAGCAATTCCTGGAGTTGTGTTTTCAGTTCCTTCATTTGTTTTGGTGCTAGCCTGTAGGGTGGTTTAGAGATCGGGGCAGCGCCAGGTACGAGGTCTATGGTGAACTCGACTTCCCTTGCTGGGGGTGCCCTGGGGATTTCGTCTGGAAAGACGTCGGTGAATTCGTTTACCACTGGAATGGATTGTGGTTCGGGTGGTTTGGTGTTGAGGTTCTCGACCGAGCATAGGAAGGCCTCGCTTCCTTGGTTTAGGTACTTCTTCATTTTCATCATGTTCACAACTTTGATCCCCGGATCTTGGCGGGTCCCGCAGTATCACACCCTTTTTCCGTTCGGTCCCAGTATGACCACTTTTTGTTCTCCGCACAGGATTTGTGCTTGGAATTTCCCTAGCTAGTCCATGACCAAGATCACTTGTACTCCATCCAGTCCGAACTGTATTAAGTTGCTGGGAAAGTCCACTCCCTGGATGGTGATCATTACGTTATCGTACATGCGGTCGCATTTCATGATTTTGCCAGAGGCCACCTTGACCTGGAGTTGGACTTTGGTGCTGGCGTTAAGGCTGAGTTGAGTGGCGAACTCGGTTGCTATAAATGAGTTGGTAGCCCCTGAATCAAATAGTATAGTGGCGGGGGTGGCGTGTACTAGGAAGGTTCTGGAGACTAGGTTGCTGTCTCCGATCCTGGCTTTGCTTAGGGTGAGGATTCTTCCTTGAGTAATCGGTGTCGTGACCTTGGGGGGTGAGACGGTCCTGGAGCTTTTAGGTCCTCGAGTGGGATTTGTGTGATTCCCCTCAGGTTTCCTTTTTTACCCCATGTGTGTCTCCCGGGGTTGGTTTGTTACTTGTTGTAGTTGGAATGCCTTGGCATAGGCTTCCCCCAAGGTCCTTGGTTCTTGTGTGGCCAGGGCTTTCTGGTGTTCGAAATTAAGGCCTGTTATGAACTTCTTGACCTTGATCATCTCGATGAGTACTAGCTCGGGGGTGAGACGAGCTAGTCTGCGGAATTGCTGGTAGTATTCCGTGATCGGGGTTGCCCCTTGTTTTAGGTGGAGGAACTCTTCGTATATGGTGGCTTTTAGATGGTCGGGATAGAATTGTTCTCGTAGCCGTGTTTTTAGGGTTTCCCAGTTGAATTCGGGGCATTGTTCGTATGTGGGTCTCTCGTGGACCCACCAGGTGTCGGCCTCGTGTCTGAGGTATAAGGAGGCTATTCTGACTTGGTGGTTTTCTGGGCATTCGGTTGCCCGGAATATCTTGTCAAAAGTTCCGATCCATTCCTCGAGGATCGTGGGGTCTTCGATCCCCGAGAAGGTGGGTGGTTGATGCGCCGAGACTCGGTGGTGGATTTCCAAGTTCTCGTTTGTTGGTAAAGGTTGGGGAATGGTAGTACTCAGTGCCTGGGAAATTTGGGCCAGGCGTTGTAGATTCCGAGTTAAGAATTCCTGAGTGGGGAGTTTCGGTGTTCCTGTTTGTCTTCTTTTTGGTGCCATCCTGGTGTTCATAGGTCGATGTTATTTTGCATTCTTACCTTGATGCAATAAGTGAAGGGGGAGTTTCTTTAAGTTAGAGAAGGATTAAGTGGGGAGCCTATGTGTAGGTTTCACAATCTCACCGCGCGTCTTACGATTCCTGAATCCTAGGTTCCTAAGAACCTAGAGTTTAAGCTTAATGTCCTAAAGTCTGGTCTTAAGAGTCTTATCCTAGGGTCAAACTTAGGCTCTGATACCAACTGTAACACCCCAAATTTTCGAAACTTTTGAAACTTATATAAAGAAGGTAAAATCTCATTAAATCCCAAAACATAATATAAAGAGTACGGGGTGCTATGCCACACCTGAGCTAGAGAACTCAGGTGCACAGGCTAACTAACTAATATCCTTAACAAAGTAAATGCATAACCTTGGCACGCAGGCCGAAAGGGAAACTATCTACTTCAATGCTCCACGATTCTAGCGCGCTCCAGTGTCTACTCTTCTGTGCCTGAAAGTCAAATATATCTGTTCAGCGAGAGATGCTGGTAACCCACTCCAACGCATTGAAATACAATACATATAGGTATATACATAGTTATACGAAAAACCATTTCGAAACATGAAGATATATCCTAAGAGACTCTAGCTTTCAAAATAGGGAGTAGACTCAACAGATAGAGCTTAGCACAGACAACGATCATAATCAAGCAGATACAATTCATAATCATAGGGAAACAGGAAAGGCAGATAAAGATAAGCACAGTTAATATCCATAACCCAACATGTACGATTCCCGGCATAAATCCCAAAGTCGCATCCCAAGACACTCATAACAACAACTCATCCATATCTCATCACAAAGCACACTTTGTTGGCGCCACAAGACCAATCGCATGCCCATACATGAGGGTCAGCGCATATAGCTCTGACACGGCCCCGCAGCACCCTGCCCCGTATCGCAACACGGAGGGGTCGATCGCAACCGACCGATGAACCGAAGCTCATCATAGTTTGATCGCAACCAAACAGTGGACCACAGCCCAAGAGTATGTTATCTGACCGCAGCCAAGAAATATGAACCGCAGCTCATGTAGAAACGTTTGATCGCAACCAAACGGTGGACCGCAGCCCAAGAGTGTAAATCTGACCGCAGCCAGCTTCTGAACCGCAGCTCAGGAAATACCAATCCGATCGCAACCGAATTGGGGTATCATGCACACATAACACATAGCAAGCACATGCAACCCACATTAACACATTGGGAAGGGGGAGAAAACGTATAACAAAACCTATGCGTGATCCTTCACATTCTAAGAATAATCCTACGGGGTTCATACTTCTTTCACCTAGGTCAACGGGATACAAATTCAACTAGCATGTAATATATAAGACTCATACAACCTACGAACGGTACCCGAAATATCAAACTAGACATAGGCACGATAGACGGAGTTCGTTGGGACACCACGGGGGTCGGGGGAACATCAAACAGGGAAGCCAAAATCCCAAATTGGGTATTTTATTCCAGCGGGTAGCCGGTGGGTGAGGGGTCACCCGCCGGCTGCCCGCCGGCGGCGATGATTCCGGGCAGCGGGTGCCCGGCGGGCAGCTGCCCGCTGCCAGCGACGCCAACAATGGCCGCGGGTAGGTGGCGGGTCCCCTACCCCCACCTACCCCCCACTGACTCTTTTATCACAAAAACGTCCCGGGAACCTTTGTGGAACCCGAAACCATGATCAGACACTTTTAAACGCAGTTGACAACAACACGTGGATAATTAACGGATCCAAACGCAAGAAACATACGGCACATAACCTATCATGGTTTTCTAAACATAATCAACACCCAAACATGCGAATTCCCACCCAATATACCAAGAATAATACCATACGATTCCACGATATAACCTATAGTTCTAATTATTTTTAAATCAACAAGAACACAATTCATCTTCTAATATCACGATTCGGAAGGAATATTATATAAACATCAAGAACATCATATAATCATCAAGAATATCAAGAACACCATATAATCATCAAGAACCTCTTATCATCAAGATCACCCATGGAATCATAACACCAATTATCAAGATTATAACGAACCATCAATACACAAGAATATGGGGGAAATCCTAAGAGGGGAATCATAGCTATGAAAATAGGTTTTGTTGAGACATGGGTTACCTTTTAGCCTTAATTAATTCCTTGGCTATGAAGGGTCTTTCTTGAAGCTTTCTTCTTTCTTGATTTCTCCTAGGGGAATTCTTGGAACTTCTTGTGTGGTGAGGGATTATTGTGGTGGGGGGTTCTAGGTGCCTCTTAAGTCCCCTATTTATATATTTAGGAGTCCTAGTTAGGAACTAATATTATAGGCTTGCTAATTCTATTCCTTTTAGGGCTAGGGGTTGGGTTTTAGGGGTGAGGGCCCACGGACCATGGTGGGCCTTTTCCCTAATTAATTATTGTAATTTAAATTCTTTCTTTGGATAATTGGTTACATGATTAATTGGTTTTAGGGGTCGTAACATGGGGTGTTACAACGACCTCCACTGGAATCTTGGCTTCGAAGCCATATGCCAGGGAAAAGGGGCTTTCTCCAGTCGCCCGTCTTTGCGTCGTTCGGTAGGCCCAGAGGACCCGGTCGAGCTCATCCACCCAATTTCCCCCGATGTCCTCCAACTTCTTCCGGATCCCGTCCACTATGGTCCGGTTCACATTCTAGACTTGCCCGTTAGCCTGGGGGTACGCGACGGATACCTTAGTGTGTCGTATACTATGCCGGCGACAGAAGTTGGCGAAAGCTTGGCAGTCAAACTGTCTGCCGTTATCGCTAACCACGTGTTCGGGCAGGCCGAAGCGGCAAATCACCTTCTTCCATAAGAAGCGCCGACACTGGTACTCGGTGATGGTGGCTAGTGGTTCGGCCTCGACCCACTTTGTGAAGTAATCGATGGCCACTACACAAAACTTCAAGCTTCCCGGGGCGACCGGTAGTGGTCCTAACAAATCGATTCCCCATTTAGCAAAAGGGATGGCTGTGGTGACCGGCGTGTAGAAGGTGGCCGACCGACTGTCCTTCCGGTCGAAGGCTTGGCAAATGTTACACTTAGATATCCATTCTCTCATCATGGCCGGCCAATAATATCACTGGACGACTAGCTTTCGGGCGAGCGTGTGGGCCCCCTGATGAGCGGCGCAAATCCCTCGATGCGCCTCATCCATTATCCTCTCGGCTTCGGGCTGGAGTAGGCATTTCAAGAGGGGCCCCCCGAACGAGCGCTTGTACATCTGTCCGCCAATGATCTGGAATGAAGGGGCTTTTCGTCGAATCCTTGCGGCGACTCCTGGATCCTCTGGCAATTCGCCTGTTTCCTTAAACCGCCGGATGTCTTCTATCCAAAACATCTCGGGGTTTTTCTCTCGATCCCATTTCTCGACATTTACCTGTTGGACCTCCAATGGTGTTTCCTCTATACTCGGACGACTTAACTCTTCCTTTTGGCAAATCTTGGCGAGGTGATCCGGTATCCCTTCTAAGGCGATTTTCGATAATATGTCGGCCTCGATGTAGTCTATCCGGGAGATATGCTCTATTTCGTACGTTCCAAATTCTTTTAGCATTTCTATCGCCTTCTCTTTATACTGGGTCATCCGGACGTTCTTAGCCTCGCAGGTGCCGGAAATCTGTCCTACCACTAGCCGGGAATCAGTTTTGATCCGCAATCGTTCTACTCCCAAAGCCTTGGCGAGTCGAAGGCCGCCTAACACAGCCTCATACTCGGCTTCGTTATTAGACGTCGGGAATAAATAGCTCAGGGCGTAGTAGAGTCGGAACCCCTCTGGAGTGACCAGCATGATTCTGCCTCCACAGTTTTGTCGACTCGCCGCTCCGTCCGCGTGCATTTCCCACCACTCGCCTGAACGGTCTTCCATGGTGTGCTCTTTCTCTTCTTCCCCTGCCGTGCATTCGACCAGGAAATCGGCCAAGGCTTGCCCTTTTATGGATGGTCGCGGCTGATACTCGATCCCGTACTGGGTTAACTCCACGACCCATTTTACGAATCGTCCTGATGACGCTGGGTTTCGCAGTACGCTCCCCAGCGGCTGGTCGGTCAGTACCCGGATAGTATGGGCTTGGAAATAGGGAGCTAATTTGCGTACGGTGATTGCTAGTGCATAAACGATCTTCTCCAAGGCTGTTTACCGTGTCTCGGCGGCCTTTAAGGAGCGGCTTACGTAGTAGACCGGGTGCTGGGCACGCTCCTCTTCCCGAACCAGTACCGAACTCACCGCCTTGGGGGAGGCGGCCAAGTACAAAAACAAAGGCTCACCCTCCCGTGGGGTGGACAACACCGAAGGTGTGGAAAGGTACTGCTTTAGTTCCTCGAACGATTGCTGGCACTCGGTCGTCCAGGCGAAACCTTCCTTCTTTTTCATCGCCTCGAAGAATGGTATAGTTTTATCCGCCGCCTTACTTAAGAAGCGACTGAGGGCAGCCAGTCGACCAGTCAGTCGTTGCAAATCTTTGACGGTGCTGGGAGGCTGCATGTCGATGATGGCCTAGACCTTTTCCGGGTTGGGCTCGATGCCTCGTTTAGTCACCATGTATCCTAGGAATTTTCCGCCTTGCACCGCGAAGGCACATTTCTTTGGGTTCAGCCGGAGATTATACCTTAGCATCACTTGGAAGCAGTCGGCCAGGTCCTCCGCGTGTTTGGCTTCTTCTTTGCTTTTGACCAACATGTCGTCCACGTAGGCCGCCATGGATTTGCCAAGTAAGTCTTGGAATAGCCGAGCAACCATCCGAGAATAGGTGGCCCCAGCATTCTTGAGTCCGAAGGGCATAACTCGGTAACAATACACCCCGTCTGGTGTAAGGAACGCGGTTTTTTCCTCGTCGGCCGGATGCATGAAAATCTGATGATATCCCCTAAAGGCATCCATAAAGCTCAGCAGGGCCGACCCCGCCGTCTCATCGACCAGCTGGTCAATCTGTGGCAAGGGGAACGGATCCTTCGGGCAGGCTTTGTTAAGATCAGTGTAATCCACGCACATCCGGTAAGCTGGGGGTTTCGGTACGAGGACCACGTTCGCCAACCACTCCGGGTATTTAACCTCTCGGATGTGGCCCGCAGCTAGTAACGTGCCCACCACTTTCTTTACGAATTCCCTTCGGTCATTGGCAAGATACCGCTTTTTCTGTACGACCGACCGATGGTCTGGATCCACGGCGAGTCGGTGGGCGATGATGGACCTGTCGACACCTGGCATATCCTCCGGCCCCTAAGCAAAGACCAGCCGATGCTTTCGGAGTACTTGGATAATCTCCTCACGAGTCTCCCCGGGTAGACAGACACCAATTCTGACCCGTCTGTCCGACCGTTCAAGGTCGATTTCGATTTCTTCCAATTCCACGGCCGGTTCCGGGCGGGGTATCATTGCTTTCTTTGGGGGCTGTTCTGTGATTTCGTGGATTTGCATTCCACGTTTGCCCACCCCCCTACAGGCTTGTAGGTAGCAGTCGCGGGCGACTCATCTATCGCAACGTAGCAGTCGCGGGCGACTCATCTATCGCAACGCATCGTTCCTATCTCGTTTGGCGTGCGGAATTTCAAGCAAAGATGCTCGATGGAGATCAGTGCTCCCAAGTCCTCCAGGCCTGGTCTGCCGAGTATAGCATTGTGTGAGCAAACTTAGTTTACAACAATGAATTTCATGCTGAGCTGCTGTACGTCGGGATTGCTGCCGACTTCCACTGGTAGGGTGATGGACCCCTCCGCTTCCACCGAGTCTCCCGTGAATCCGGCGAGTGGCGTCTTGACTGGATTCAGCTGTTCTCGATTCAATCACATCTTCGTGAAAGTCTCAAGGTATAGCACGTTGACACTGCTTCCGGTGTCGACCAGGATCCGCCGAACAACCACTCCGTTTACATCCATCGCTATGACTAGCGCGTCTCGATGCGGTGTCTCTCATGTGGGCAAATCTTTGTCAGTAAATGTGATCGGTTCTCGGCACACTTTCTTCGAGATTTCTTCTCGCCCATATACTGTTCCGACGTATAGTTGTCGAGCCCAGGCATTTCTGTTATTTGCCGAGTCACCGCCCTCTGGTCCGCCGACTATCATGTTGATAACTGGCTTTTGACGCCACTGGGCCTCGTCCTCCTCAGTGGCCGACCGCTTGCCGCGGCTATTCTCGGCGGCGACCGCGGGATCATCGTCCTCTCGTGCTACTGACCTTCGTCTCCACTGATTAGGAGGCGGGGTCCCTTGCTGGATAATTCCTTCCATGACCTTTTTCAAATAGAAGCAGTCTTCCGTACTATGGGTGTAAGACTTATGATAGCGGCAGTACTTAGAGTTCTTACCTGTCTCTTCACCTGTCATACGCTCGTCGATCGACAGGGGCGGAGGCGGAGCGACCGCTTGAACTTCGTGCACCGGGTGCTGAGGAACCGCTCTGTAGGGATGGACCATAGGCTTGTCATAGGGACGTCTAGCCTCGGGTCGCCGAGCCCCTTCCGGGCGCTTTTCCTTGGTTTCCGCGCGGGTCCTCTTTCCGTCGGTGGATCCTCCGATTTTGTGTTGTCGCTTATGCTTCATGGCCTGCTCCGTGTTAGCCCGTTTATTGGCCATGTGTATGGCTTCCGCATAAGAAGTCGGGCGGTTATCCCGCAGCTCCCGATACAACTGCCCGGATCGTAAATATTCGATGAAAAAAGTGAGTGCGGTCTGATCTTTGACCTCTTCGATAGACTGAATCTCCTTTTTCCATCGAACCAAGTAGGCTTTCAGGGACTCGCCTTCCTTTGGATGGACATCTCCCAGGTGAGTCAGATCCTTCTGTGGCTTGATGTTGGCCGCATAATGGCTCATGAAGCGGTCGGCTAACTCCTCAAAACTGTGAATCGACTTAGGAGGCAGCGCCACTAACCACCTTTCTGTCGAGCCTTTCAGCGTGGGCAAGAAGGCGCGACACATCACCGGGTCTCGCACTCCCAAGACCTTCATTTTGGCCTAATAGCTAAGCAGATGCTCGCGTGGGTCTCCAGATCCGTCTAAGGTGGCTTGTTCCAGAAATTTAAAGTCGCCGGGTATTTTGTAGGACATGATCTCGGAAGAGAATGGCAAAGCGGTGAGCAACGCCTGCCCGGGGGATTTGGTCTTTCCCCCCATTTGTTCTTTCAGATCTCGTACCTCTCGGGCCAATTGGGCCACGTCGCCTTCATTGCGAGTGTGGTTTCCTGTGGATTCCGCACTTTCGCCGACCTCAGATTGGGCCGATCGGTCATCGTTGTGCGTTACGCGCTCGGTCCGTCGTGTCCGCGTCTTAGTTCTCCTGGTGCGAGCTCTTTCTCGACCGATTTCCCGATCTCGGGGCCCTGCTGATGCGCGGCTGGGCTCCCTTTCTCCTAGTCGCTCTCGTGCAGGCTTCCGTCCAGCACTCGGACCCAACCTTGAATGGACTGATCGTACTGGCTGGCTCTCTGCCCGTCGATTTTCCTGCCCGTCTTCTGGCCTCTGGGACGGTTGTTGATGGCGAGGCATCGGCAGAGAAACCGACTGTTCCCTCACTCCTCGACTCGCGTCGGCGAAGGCTCGTCCGATCGCATGGAGTTGTTCCGGGGTGAGGGGTATCATAGGCGGCTGCGGGTTCACCGGTGCCGTTTCGTTTCCTTGACTTTGAGCATTTCGTTGGTTCAGCTGATCTCTTAGATCTGCCTCTATCCCGTTGTTTCGGTTGTTTGCTTGATCTCATCCTTCCGACATGTTTATGACGCTTTTTCGTTCGACTTCGGGACTCGCCCTACTTAGAGAGTCACGTAGCTCTTTGTGTCGATCCCCACGGACGGCACCAGTGTTGGTTTTTGGGTTTTCGGGCCCAAGGAGGTCCAACACAACCTTTGGTTGGTGGATTCACCTTTCAAAAAGTGATCGCGAAGATGAGTAGTCGGATGATAAGAAAGTGTGTGTCTTATTCTCTGGCCATGGACTCGCCTCCCTTTACAAGTGTAGAGGGGGCCTTTATATAGCAGGCTCCCCTCCGTTCAAATTGAAGTACATTAATCCCTGCTTTCAAGGCTATTTACACTATCAGACCGTTCGGTCGCTGTTACAGGGTCGACCAACAGCTCTTTGGCCTCTTAACGGCCCTTCTGACCGAATCCTCTTGAATGCCGCATTGAGTGTTCCTTCAACAGCTCTTAGACCGACTTGAATGCTTCTTACTGGCCTCTGGGTCGAGTCTCCTTCCTTGCTTGGGCCCGGACCGACTCCTGGACTCGGCCCAGGCCCTCATCGGGCTCCTTCTTTTACTAACCCTTGTCTTCTATCTTAGGCTTTTTCTCTCCTAGGCTCTTCTCTCGTGGGCCCCTCCTCTTGGGCCGGGGTTATCACCCCATCAGGTATAACATCCTTTCTTTTTATATTACTCTAGGCATTATATATTATTATTATAGTATCCACCTCATCAGCATCTACTCCCACAATGGTATTACATCCATTCTTTTTATATTACTCAATAGAAACGACCATTATATGCTTACCTTGTTGAGTTTCATGAGACAACCCAAAATTCATGGTGCAAATGAAGAACGTTTCCTTGTTTACTTTGTACTGCTACCCATGCTCCCATTTTCTGTGTGTGTTAATGTTGTTGGAAAAAATAGCTTAAAATGGCATAAAATGGCATGTTAAGTGGCTATTTTGTGGTACAATTATCAGTGGGGTCCATTTCCGATTTTGGTCAGGTCAAAGTGGATTCGGGTTCTTTGTAGCGAGACGAAGAGATTGATATATTGTACGCTCAAAACGGATAATGGATGAATGAGATATTGATTCTCAAAGTAGACCAATTTGAGTCAGAAAATGAAGGGAAAATGTGAGCATTTGTCCCACATTGGTTTGGGAAGAGGATTTGCCCCACTATTTATACATGAGCTCTTTTTAAGCTTATTGTATTGTATAGCATAGAGGTTCTTTCTCGCTCGTAGGGGGGTGCAAATCAAATCCCAAAATGAGAACAAAAAGGGTTGAGGCTCAAGCCTGATCTCGTGTGCACCAGCACCTGCGGGCACAAAAGCCACTGGAAAGTTGCCATGGCCGAATTGAAGCTCCTGTTGTGACCGTTGGGTTTTTAATTTAGCTGTTATAGAGTTAATTCTTTTAATTTATTCCAATTTTAAATTTTGAATTAAAATCCAAGATAATAGTTGCTGTTACAGGAGTTGTAGGGGTGTTTTTAAGTGCCAAAATTAAAAGCTATTTAATCCTCAAGCCCTATATAAGAGAGCGTATTGTAGCACCCCGTGTTACGGGCTTGTACCCGGACTAATTATGAAATTAATTCCATTAACATATAATTAAAAAGGATTTAATTAGACTAGAATCCTCATTAATTAATTGGTATGGTCCACAATGGATCATGGACCCTTATCCCTAACCAAGCCTTTAATTCTATAAGGAATAGGAAAAGTGGGCCTTTACTATTCAGATTCCAGTTAGGGTTCCTGAATCTATATATATAGGGAATTAGGAAGCATTTAG